GAGAGAGAGAGAGAGAGAGAGAGAGAGAGATTGGATTTGGGGTTGCCTCTGAGGTAGAAAAGGCCAGATAAGTTCTATATTTTGAGGTTCACAATATTAAAAAGGAAATAACAAATCATTGGAAAAGCTATGATTATGTTTGCATTAAAAATATTTGAGCTTTTAATTACTATGTAAATACCTTAATTTATTACTCATAGATATTAATAGGACTCACTGAAAATTTCAATCTAAGTACAAAGCAATTGAGTCATGGAGAATAAGCTGAAAGTCTTTTCTCAATTTTGTCATAGCATTCTGTCTTTGTATATAGCATCTTTTATGCTTTTGAGATCAAGCAGCATAGACCCATGGTTTTCACCTCAGCGGAAATAGGATTTGGTTTACTTGCTCTGGTCTTACCATATAAGAAAAGTGTCTAGTGTATCTAATGTGTGTCTAATGACACACCTGGGTTCAGATGTAGGTGCATGTCAAGTGTTGAGAAGCCATCGTGTCCAGTGGCTACCCCCCGGACAGTGCAGACCAGTGCAGACCTAAGCATCACCGATGACAATGAGCAAAATCTTTATTTCATTCTAGATGTAGTTCTAATGAATGTATTCATCTAGTTAGAGGATGTTGTGGTAGTCCTCATTTTAAAAATAATAAATCTGAGGCAAGAGGAGGTTGAAGATTATTCTTTCACACAAGTTACACAGATAATACAGGAGGAACCTAGACTGAAGTGAGGCGCTCTGCTGCAGACTGCATGCCCCTCATCACCACACACCCTGCTCCCTCGAACGAAGCAGAGCCTACCCTCTTCTCATTTCCCTTTCCTGGTTCCATCTCCCTAATCATCCTGCTTCACTGCAGTAGAGTCTATCTTCTCACAGATTTCCTAGGTCTTCCCATTTACTCCTCAGTTTGCTGACAACACTCAGTGCAGAGAATTTAACCTGCTTAGCCATGTGCATCTGAAGGCCCTGAAGGGTCTCACCACCAGCAAAAGACTGAGCAACACAGGCAGCCTGAGATAAAACTACACTTTCAAACTTGTTCTGATTGCTAGTGAAATGACTCATCCACAAAGAAGAATAATGATATGAGTCATATCATAAGTACCAGATTTTCTTCATTAGACGCTCACCCTTTCTTTTGAATAAGAAGGGACATGGTTTGATAAATTATGTACTACTTGAATCTCTCCTGATGTCTAGCCTTCAAAATTTAGAATACTATCTGAGCAATAAGATACTACACACAGTAAGTGCATGGACACACAAACACAGAGCAGATATTTTCAGTAAAAAGAGCTTTTCTGTCATCTCAACTAATCAGGAAACAGCATAGAAAACTGAGAGCCTCATCTGGGAAGAGCTGGTTCAATACTCAGACTCTAAGTGCCATTTTCATGACTCAGGCTTCTGTCACCATAATGTTAACCGCAAATGCAATTTTTCATGATGTCAAAAGAATCTCCCAGGAAAAGGACAAATGAAAGAAGGGACGAAGATATATTTAGGTATACATGAAAAATAGTTTGGTTAATTGTACTGCCAACTTCTGCTGGTCTTTTGAAAGGAGCAGTTAATGCTTCAAATTTGTTTTCCTTTTTATTCTTTTTTCTTTTGCATTTTGTACGACTTTTTTGTTATTTTGTTGCTTTGTTTTTTCTTTAAACCAATCTTGCATGTTTACATCTGGTAGCCTGAACAACTAATTTGAAGATAGTGTCATGTAATACAACAACCATTGCTGAACTCTGTTACTTTGTTTAGTGAAATTTTGTACGGTTTCTAGTGATTCCTTTTCTATCACTATTTTGTATTCATTTAAAAATTCTAGGGGCCGGGGAGATGGCTCAGTGGAATAAGCGCTTCCCTGGCAAGTGCAAGGGCCTGAGTTTGATCCCCGGTTCCACCAAAAAAAAATTAAATTAAATTAAAATTTTAAAAAAATAAAATTTTTTTTAAAAAATCTTCAAAAAAAACCTTCATTTCCCTCAGTGCTGATGACAGCTTAACTTTTTTGTTAAAAATTTACAAATAGTATTAAAAGTAGAAGAAAAATATTCCACGGCTATGAACATTTCTCTGTGTGGACTGAGGCTTGCTCCTATTGGGAAGATGCAATGAAACATAATTAAAGAATAACATATAACAGACATTAAGAGAATCACTGCTGAACTGGCATACATTAGAATGGATTGACACTGATTACATATATATTTTTTTCTTTTGGATTTTTTTTTAAAAAGTGATCAACCCTCAGGCTTAATTTAAGTAAAATTTTACATGGGGGCAAAAAAAAATTCTTCATTTTTGTTAACTAAAGCTCAATGGGCATCCTGGGAACCACCTACTCTGACAGACCAAAAGCACCCAGTAGCACACATATAAATTTCACTGAATATTTCCTATCTCATATTGTTCTGGTCCTTTCACTCCCAATATTGATAAAATTCATACCACAATATTTAATAATCATCTGGAAGGTCAGATTTAAAAGCATCTATGGCTGGGGAAGTTTCTTCTGTCATTATAGACTTTTAAAAAATTACTGGCAAATTATAGTTGTATATATTTAGGAGGAACCACATGATGTTAAGACTTACAATGTGAAATGATTAAAGCCAATTAACATATACATCTTAAACATTTTATATTTTGTTGAGTATAACATGTGAAATTTACTTTTAGGCATACTAAAATATACAATATTCAATTACTAGCTATCTTCACCATGCTGTGTGACCAATCTAAACAATTTTTTTTAAAAAAAAGCCAGCTTTATTTTTTCTATTTAACAAAGGCTTTGTACCCTTTTAACTATCAACAGTATTTCTTTCCCTCAAGTCCCTGCTAACCTACCACTTTCCCCTGCTTCTATGAGTTCAATTGTTTTAGATTCCATGCATGTCTTTCTGTTTGCTTTTTTTCACTTAGAATATGTTCTCTAATTCTAGAGCCGTCAAAAATGACAGTTTCTGCCTCGTAAGAAGCTGAATCATGGGCCAAGGAGATAGCTTGGTAGTCTAAGTGCCTGCCTGGCAAGCACAAGGACTTGAGTTCAATCCCCTGTACCACATGCTGTGCCAGCCACCAAAACCAGGCATGGTGGCACACACTTGTAATTCTAGCACTGGAGAGGCTGAGACAAGATCACTGTGCGTCTGAGCTGCATAGTGAGACCCTGTACCAAATTAAAAAAATAAAAAAAAATTTAAAAAAGCTGAATCATAAGCTGGGAATATAGCTCAGTGGTACAGCACTGATCTAAATGTGCAAGGCTTTAGGGTCAATGCTCAGATGGCCTAAACATTTCTTTTGTACATGACTGGATCTCACATTTTTATCCAGTCCTGTGCTGATGGATATTTAAATTGGTAACTGAGCTATTGTAAACAGTACTACAGTGAATACTAAAGTACAGATATGTTTTCAACAGATTTCAAATACTGTAGGTAAATACTGAGATACAGAGCAGCTGGATCATATGTTTGTTTTTTGTTTGTTTCCTTACCTGTTTGCTTGTTTGCTTTCTACCGGGATTGAATTCCAGACTTTCTCACTGAGCTACATCTCCTCCCCATTTTTACTTGCTTATTTTTATGCTGAGAAAGGAAATCACTAAATCACTAAGCTGTCCAGGCTGGGCTTGAACTTGCAATTTTCCTTCCTCAGCTTCCTACACTGCTGAAATTATAAGCATGTGTAACCACAAAAAATTAAGTTTTTCTAAGAACTACCACACTGTCTCCCATAATGGCTACACTAACTTATGTTCCAGTGGACTGGTTTCTTTTCTTTCTGCTTTTAATGTATTAATTTATTTCAATAAATATACAGAGGCTCATAGAAGTCCCCAAGGACTTGAACAAGCTCATATTTTTGTTTTTTATGTTAAGGACACACTGAGATCATGTAGCATAGCAGCAGATCTGGGGGAGGCTCTGATTGTTACAAGAGGATCAAGGACGGAGAAGAGGCAGTCAGTGGCAGTGGGGGTGCTTCATGGAGAAGCAGGATCCTGACCAAGATCTGAATGGGGGAGCTGGAGAGGGCTCAGGAAGTTGCATCAGGACCACACTGAACAGTATACAAGGTTTCTTTTCCTCCTTACTGGCCCAGAAGAATGGTCTTTTGGTTTTGTTTTGTTTTTTTATTAGCCATTCCAACAAGTGACAGATACTTCAATGTGGTTTTAATCTGCCTCTCCCTGATGATTAGTGGTGTTTAGCCTTTTGTCATCTGTTAGCTTTTGATAGGTCTTCTTTTGAGAAATGTCTATACATAGTCCGCTATTTCTTAATTAGCTTGTGTTTTTCTCTACAGTTAACATATTTTGTATATTAAACCCTGATGAGATATATGACTTGCGAATATTATTTCCTGATCTGTAGGTTTTTCTCTTACTTCTGTTAGCTGTTGCTTTGTTGTGAAAATCTTTTAGAGATGTTTTTAACCTTTATAAAATCTGAACTGAAAGATACTTGGCTCCTCCAGGAAGGCCACATCCCTCAGCTGATACACCAACTCCTGTGACTGACATGCTAAATACTCCACTGGCTTTTCACACCACAAAGCCTGAGCAGTCATACTAACGCAAAACGTCCTGTACCATGAGTGACTACAGGTTTCAACTGGACATGCAAGTAGGGCCTCACATTCAGGAGCCCTGTTGTTTCAAGGGCAAAGGAGCTCTTCCTATAAAAGTGAATACTCAACATGCTTTTGGACTGCAGGAGAAAGCTGAATGGACACATTTAATTAAAAAAAATTGTTAAAACTATTTCAGAAATGTTATGTGGAAATCATTTTAGCACTTATTTTACCATATATTGTACTTACTTAAACTATACAACTATCTTAACAAAAGTAAAATGGACTCTATCTAGTCAGGCAACAAAATGACAATTTCTAAAAAGCAACATGACATGAGAAAACATCATTTGGGCTAAATTTCTAGGAAAATATAACTGATGCTTCAGTCAAAAGCGTAAGCTTAACCAAAGCACAGAGATACGTTCTAATTTATTTTATCACTATTCTTTTTGATCCCTATAATCTAGGAAATTACATGTTACTGCAGTTAATTTTTATTCTAATTCCTTCATGATCAGATACTCTTACTTCCTGCTTCCCAGAGAAAATGCAGGCCATCCAGTGGAAATGAGAGACATCATCTGATCAACTCTGAATCACCAAGCCACAACTGGACCTGTATCTATACCAAAACTTTGCTTCTTCCTCCCCATATAAAAGAAAGAGTATTCATTCTGTCAAAGGAAAGAAAGACAGACATGCATACAAACAGACATGGGTAAAACAAAACATTAGGGAAGGAAAAAAAATAAACTAGCTTGTTTGACAAATATCATATTAAGGATATTAAACAACATATGGGATATTTAGGAAACAATATGGAGGAATTGCCTCTCCTTGTAGATTAAGTGGGAAAATTTAAAGTCACAACATTAAAATAAAAACTACTTTAAAAACTTAGTTAAAAAACACAGAGTAGGTAAAAGAAGAAAAAAAAAATTAACCACTATCATCAGAAAGACAGAAATATGGAAATTTTAATACTAAGGTAACTCACTGCTGAGAGCCAAATTGCTCTAGACATTCTGCTAAATTCAGACAACTTAAAAATAAATGTAGCTGAAAAGCATTTTAGACAGGGGTGAAAAGACAACACAGCTATTAATGGATTTCACATATTTAAAATGAAAATAATGAGGATGACTTATCTTTGATGTCCATTTTAAACAAACAAATGTTTGAATTAAACATCAGGACAGTTAATGCTAACAGTAGTAAAAGACTACTGCAATTAGTATCATCAAAAAACAGAACTTGCCATTAATTTGCCTAAAATTCATTGACTTTGATAAAAAAATATATAAAAACTAAATTTAAACAATGAAGCTACTTCAATCATGAGATTTTAAAAAAAATGTAATAAATATGAAAGATGTTAGATGTAGCGCAAGGATGTGGCACTTACCTAGCTTGGTTTGAGCCCCAGTTTAAAAAAAAAAAAAAATTGGGAACTAAGACAAACTTTAAAAAGCTGTAATTTAGTACAAATGGGAAAATAAACAGAAGAAATTATTTAAATGTTGAAAAGCCCACAAATACTAAAGAAAGAAAAATAATTGATACTAAAATAAACAGCAGGAAGAAAATTAGAGGGAAGGGTAAAGAAGGGAGAACATGGGAAAAGTAGAAGCCCTCTGAGAAATAGGGGTCTTCTAATCAGAAAATTTTATATCCTTATTAGTATCTTGTATCTGTAGGTTAACTAATTTTCTCCTTTGAACTACAACCTTTATTGTCTCTTGAGCTATTTCTTTTAAAATTAAGGAGCTTACTACATTTAGCCACATTATTTTGTTCTGTATCTCCTACAGTCCATAATATATGCTTACTACACTCTATTCATATAAAAACATACCCAAAAAGTCTAATTTCAGTGATTTGATTTAGTCCATCCTAAAAGTTCTAAGAATTTCAAGAGCTTCAAAAATACCTTTCGGGGCTGGGAAGATGGCTCAGTGGAACAAGTGCTTCCCTGGCAAGCGCAAGGGCCTGAGTTCAATCCCTGGTTCCGCAAAAAAAAAAAAAAAACAACTTTCATAGGCCTTGGCATAAATGAACTCAGACATTTCTTCTTTTGCAAGGAAAAAAAAGTTGGGTCTCCTTAAAATCTTGCAGTTAGCTGTGTCCATGAAAGGTGCTGAAACATGTGATTTGTGTTAGTGGCTAACCAAAATAAGTATAGAGATCTATACTGCACTAACCTATATTAGAATTCAAAACTCAATTCCTCCACATATATCCCATCACACACACATGCAAAATGCATGCACATTCCCTTTGATTATACCTAGAGGATAAAGGTATATTTTGTCAACTATCCTTGTATGGTTCCAATAAATGTTCCCTTGACTCTAGCTGAAAGCCACTGTTTTAAATCTGACCTCTCCACCCTTTTCCCCCCAGATTCAAACCCTGTTTCCAAGATAACTGCCAGTAAGAGGTCCTAACTTCAGCATTGTCTTTAACATTTAACTGTGGATCTGCCTGGGTCCTATTTCATCTTCCCACAGTTATTAAAGCATTGTGTTGTTACATAAACTGGCATTTCTAATGTTCATCTTTCAAAATGCTAATGACCCTTTAAATCCTCTCAGGTGATGGCTATAATTCAATTAGTTACTATGGTTTCCTTTTTTGGAAAAGATAGCCAGTCAGGTTTCTGCGTACATCTAATGCCCAACCCCCAGTGTCACCTTTTAAGAAAAGTATATATTTTTAAAAGGAGAGGGATACAGTATTTTTTTCCCAGAGGATCATGACATTGAGTCTTGACACTTGCTATCTATGGACCACAGCCCTTACCACTGTGTGATGTATTCTTCCAGCTGTCAACCCTTTCCCAGTTCTCTGGGCTATTCCTAAATCCCATTAATCCGGTCATAGCACATTTATTACCCAGTACATCCATTAATCAGTGACACAGAAATTACTGGCACACAATTCTCGCATTCTCTGCTGCATGCAACCTAATGTACATCTTCCCAGAACTTCTGTTCCAATTATAGTGTGCCCTCCAAAAAGTTCAACTGCTTTTCTGGCTTACTCTGCAGTTCCTTTCAACATAAGAGAGAGAAAAAAAAAAACCTCAACCAATTCCCTTTAAAGGGAAATAAACTCAAAATTATCAGATTTTGACAGCTCCAAACAAGACTTCTCATAAAACTTTTGGCTCTTAGTTATCTACAAATGATACGGTTATATCAAAGGAACTCAAGACCTAACCAAATACCTTGAGAAGTTAATCAAATGTCTTGTCCTGAATCAAAATGCATATGTCAAAATAACTTAAGGACATATCCCTCTACCTTACTGATGCCTGCTGGGTTACACTTAACTTAAATAAAAATGACTTCTTTTCACTGTATTCTCCTAAATAATCTAGAAGGATGCTTCTTTTAAGCAAAAGAATACTACAGCCCACAAAGCTACAGACATAAGAACACTTCTGTAGAACTGAATAGCAAACTGTAAGTCTGAAGACTTCAATATGAGAACAAGATAGAAACACTACATATATTTTCAAATCCAAACATTCTTACAACCACATTTAAGGAGGTTTTGTTTGAAAATTAACATATTTATATAATGAATATTCACTGATGCTAATGAAAGTCCATTTTTAGTTACATTTATTTTGAAAACATGCATTACTATAAAAAGCAAATGGACACCAAACCTCAAGCGTTCTCAGAAGGAGAAGAATGTACCAAAAGTGCTGCATAACAATGCTTTCTACACAGGGCAATTGATCAATTATGCAGGGCATGGTGGCACACACCTATAATCTCAGCACTCAGAGGCTGAGGTAAGAAGGTTACTGCAAGTTCAAGGCCAATCTAGGCTACATACTGAGCTCAAGTTCAGCCTGAACTACAAAGTGAGACCCTGCTTCAAAAAACAAACAACGAAAAAACATCAGTTCTGTCATGGCCTCATTAAAAGTACTTCAATTACCACAGTAGCATAATGTTATAATTTTAAAGTGATTATATCCTTTAAAATGAAAGAAAAATTCATTGCAATCCCCACCAAAAAAATGTGAATATTAAGATTAGTGGAAGAAGTTCATCAAAGACTTATGCATCAGGTGATAATTCAAACTTCCTGGGCCCTTCTGAGATCAAACATGACATAGAATTCCTAAAATACTGTCATTCCTAAGCACTACACAAATTCTTAAACAAGATGTGCCACTTTCTAAGAGTGATCCATTGCAAATGCCAAGTTCTCTTGCTTACCTGGCTTTGCAAGGCGTATCAGAGAGATGTATACATCATGGCAATCTCTTTCCTGTGGTATGATAAGTTGTATAATCTGAAAGTTCTTACAGCGAATAAGCAGAGGACAGCCAGTAGCGGTTGTTGCCTGTTTTTCAATGGTGGAAATCTGACTGTGGAGAATCTAGAACCCAAAGTTAATTAAGAAACACTGAACACAAACAACTAGCAAATATGACAAAGGACTATACAGGTCTCTGGGCTACACAGGTAGAAAGGAAACACTTCCAAACCTTCAGCTAGTACAACACCTGCTCTCAGATAACAAGACTTGCGATATTACAAATGAGTAAATTAATAATTTTATTTTTCAATACAAAACCTTTTGATATCAGGATAATTATTTTGAAGCAAATTATTCAGAATGAGAATTTCACAATTTCAATTAAGGGAATGTTTTATAGTCAAATGCTGAATGCAATTACAGCTAAAATTAAATAAGGTCATGAGAAGTCAGCAAAATAAATTCTGCATTTAATAGAAGTTAAAGATGGCTCCACTGGGAGATGCCACCATGCTCTTGGGATGTTCAGATTTGACAGTAACTTGGGACTGTTGTTTTCTAAACTGATGGTGGTCAGACCAACTGCAGAGAAAATACTTATTCTATTTTTAATTTATTAATGTGATTTTCAATTAGCAAATCATCACTGTATATTTTTATAGGGTATGATGTTCTGATGTATGTATACAAAATGTGGAAAGATTACACCAATCTAACTCAAGCATCACCTTCCTTATTTATCTACTTATGATAAACTTTCAAAATTTATTGTTATTTTGAGATAAACAATTGTTTTGGCTATAATACCAAAACAATTTCAGATGCAATAGATCTGAAAGTCTACTCTTCCTATTTATTTATAACTTTGTATTACTGGACCAACAGGTGCTCATTCTCTCCCATTCCCATTCCATTACCCCATTAACCTCTCATCCCACTCTTCTACTCTCCAATAAAGAGATCTGAAAAGAAATCCATCTTTGGCTTTCAGAAGGTCTATACTCAACCCTCAAAGGCAGCATTTCATTCTATAAATTCCTTTCCACTAAGTAATAACCTACCACTTTTTGCTAAAGGATAACACTGTCCACAGAATATGAAAAGAGGAAAAACATTACATTTCATGGATTTAGTTCTGGTCATAATATCATGACAGAGTTACTATATAAAATTAGAAGTATCTAATGCTTTTATTATTAACTAGCTAAATATCTATTTATGATAATTTAGATTTTCTTTTTTAAATTATCAGAAAAGTGGAAACAACAAAATAACTTCATGGCTGCATTACAGGATCTTGTATATAATAATGTGTATAGCAAATCAAGTATGAAAATGTTGTATCTGACATACTACCATTAATCAATCTCTGCTTGACAGCTTATAATGAAGTACATGTATCTTAAGGTTATTTCTAGGTCTATCTTCGATGATGTCCAAATGAATGTTTGAATGAGTCAGTAGATCATCAAGATGACTACATAGAAAAAGGCAAGGTGACATCCCACAAACCATCCCCTGATCACTTGAACACCAACAACCCACTTGACTCACTCTGAGGAAAAACAAAAGAAAGGGGAATCAAAATTTTACTTCAAATAAAATATGTAAAGTCAGAAGTAAGGAAAACATACCCATGTTTCTTTTCTTGTATCAGGTGCATTTTCCACAAATATGACATGAGTAGCCGTCAAATACAAAGTACCCAGGGCTGCTTTTTTGGAAGATACTCGGTCTACCAAGCGGACATTTTCAACCTAGAGAAATCAGTTTGATGGAAACAGTTTTGGCAAAGCAACAAAAACAACAAAGCTACTCACAAGGCAGTACATACTTACTCTAAAATACAAATTTGAAATTTCCCCCATAATAAAAACCAAAATATATCCCCTTAAATTAATTAGGTATCAGAATATGATAGTGTAAGTCAAAAGATAAAATTTTGGGTCGGTGAGATAGATCAGCAGTCTAAAGCACCTGCTCAAGCAAGCAAGCAAAGACTGCAGTTCAATCCCCAGCACTACATGCAGCACCAGCCCTGCCCCTAGGGTGGGCTAAGCCAGCCACAAATAAATGAATAATAAAATTTCAACAATTACTAAAATATGATTTAAAATGCGGCACAAAGGACATGTAGATCCTACTCTTTCCTTGAGTTTTTGTTTGTCATTTATTCTTTTGTACAGGGTCTCACTATGCAGTTTGGAATCACAGTGATCCTCCTGTCTCAGTGCCCCCAGCACTGAGATTATAGAATGAACCACGACATCCAGTTTCAGGCAGCAAGGCATGCAGTATGGGAATCAAACTCAGGACCTTGCACTTGTGAAGTAGGCGCTTAGACCCCTGAGCTACCTCCTCAGCCTCTTTTAAGTTTTGAATAAGTCTGTTTTTATTTTGTTGTAATTATAAAATATCTCTCATTAAGGCAGAAAATGTATTAAAGCTCTGAATTCGTACAATGACTACGTATGGATTACATTCTCCACAGGAAGAAAAGGATATGGTTTCCAACATGGTTCTATGGCCTCATGGTTGTTTGCTTTCATAAAAATTAGTAGGAAATATACATAAGGAAGGAAGAGTATCAGAGAAATATAGATTTTTTTTTCTGTATTTAGGGCAGGGTCCACAGGGTCTACAGCGTCTCACTTTGTAGATCGGACTTGTAGTGATTCTCCTGTTTTCAGCCTCTCAAGAGCTGGGATTACAGGTGGGCGCCATCATGCCCAGTCTCAATTGCCATCTCAGCACACCCAAGGGTTGGGGCCAGCACAGCAAGCCGGGGATCAAATCCCAGTCCCTGTGCTCTGCCTAAGAATGTACTTCAGTCTGCTGAGCTATCAGGTCAGCCCTAGAGAAAAATGTATAAATAGAAACCTGAGCAGTTTAAGCTCCTTATATTCATTTATGATAAAATTTTTGTAGTGAATGCAATTATAAGTGAGCTAAGAGTCCAGGTGTACTGGCACATGCCTGTAATCCCAGGAGGGAGGCTGAAAATAGGAGGATCACTGTGAGCCTGAGCTGTGTTGTAAGACCTTGTAACAACCAAATCTATTTTTTAAAAAAATGATAAAGTAAGTGAGCTAAAATTCAAAGTGCTAGAAGAGATGTCTGGAGATAATTTTCATCAAGCATTCATCTGCTTTGTGCAGAGCAATACAAATGGAATGTGCACTGGGATCTTCCCAACATGAAATGCAATGAAAATAATAGGACTACCTCTGCAAAGCACAGAAAACTGAAACATAATGACTAACAGAAGAGAAACTGATTTAACCAGGGTTGTGAATATATAAATTTATTAGGAAACTTCAAAATAAAAATTACTTTCAATCCTCATGCCTGCCATGCCAGCCCTGCCCCTGGGGAGCACTGAGTCAGCGACTGAGACTGGGTGTGGTGGTGTGTGCCTGCAATCCCAGCGTTTGGGAGGCTGTAAACAGGAGAATCACTGTGAGTCTGATCTAGTAGTGAAACCAAAAAATTCAGAAAAATAAAAAAAATTACAATAAAGAATAAAAAATTACTGGGGCCAAGGTTATAGCGCAATGGCAGAAACATCTGCCTGGCAAGTACAAGGTACCAAGCTGGATCCCCAATACCAAGAAAACAAATTACTTATTATTTAAAACAAAGATAATCCTCTTACAAAAAAAAATCTCTTTAATAATGGATCCAATTTCTTACGTTGTTACAGATCTGTTTAATATTTCTAATATTTTCTAAATCTCATTTTGATATCTATTTTCTTCATAAACTATTTTCAAATTCTCACAATTTTATAATCTTTCTCTTTAGGCAAACCTCTCCCTCTTTGTATCTTCTTTCATTCCTAATATTGTGAATTATATTTTTGTTACTTGGTGATTAAATGTTATTCTTCAACAGGTCTTGGATTTACAGACTTTATAATTTTTCTCTTCATTTCTATTCATTAATAAAGGCAGCATGCTTTGTTTTGGCATGTCATTTGGTTTTTGTTTCTAAATTCTCAAGTTTAAGAGTAAGCTAATTAATTATCATTTTTGCTTAATAACAAATTTATAAATTCAATCAATTTCCTCCAAGTGAATCTTTGATTGCATCTTGTGAGGTTTTTTTTTAAATAATTTTATTGAGAAACAAATAGCAATGAGACAGTTTCAAAACTAATGACTAGCACAGTTTCAATAATTAATACACTGCATATTGTTTCTCAGTGGTTATTCATTGTACATCTTGTGAGTTTTATTATTCTCATTCTTTTTACTTCATAAAATATCTATATTTTCATTTTTATATCTTTGATCTGAAAGTTTTAAAAAAACGTTTTTAAATCCCCATATGAATTTTACTTAAAATTCTGTTATTAAACATTCTATTTTCACCAACTATGAGAAAGGTAGTATAAAACCATGGGAGAAAAAATAAGGGACTACATTTTTAGAATATTTCTTTGGGGAAAAACTCATCTGCATGCTAAAATACCTAGTTAAACAAATTATGCCTAAGTCAAGGGGCAAGACATACCAGTTAACCGTATCTAAAAATGAGATCCAAATAATTTTCCTGCTTTTTTGTCATGGTTTGGAGTTTTTGGAAGGGTAACAATACAATACAGTACACATTTGGTAAGATTTTACAATAAATCACCCAAAGAATCATACAAAGAGTACAGGAAATCTGTCTACACAGTAACAAACAAAGAATCCAGTTGAGGGCCTGGATCCTAATATCCTGTATGAGTTCAGCTGAAAACCTAGAGCTCATAACAATGTCTCTCATAAGTCCAGCTGGAGGCCTAGAGCCCATGACAAAGTCTTATACAGGCACAGTTCCTGGATCTTCCCTGAGAAGGTACGAAGGTCAGTGGTGGAAGCTAGAAAGCCTATGTCAGCAGGACAAAGGATCTGGGCTAACAGGCTGAGGGATCTGAACTGAAGCCGGGAAGCAATGCTCAAAGTAAGAACCAGAGCTCCCCCAAAAGTAGAACAACCACCCTCAGCAACAGTGAGGTCCAGAGCTCCTCCAGTGATGAGGAAAGCTGAGTTCCCATCAGGAAAGCCAACGTGAAGAACTTCTCCAGGTGGCTAAGCTGTGTACCATCTTCCACTCTGGAACCAGGAGGCAATGCTCAAGATAAGTACCAGAGCTTCCCCAAAATGAACCACAGCCATTCTCAGGGACAGCAAGGTGATGAGCTTCTCCTCTGACCAGAACAGCCAAGTTCATCAGAAAGCCAGCAAGAGAGTCTTCCAGCAGAATAGCCCAAGAGAATCAGAAGATCCAACAGCTTCTCCAAACAGCTTCGCTAAGAGCCTCTCCCAGCTCTTCTCCACTTCTGCCTCTTAGGCTGCTGACAACAATCCTCAGTTGGGCCTACCACATCCAGCACCACCCTAGTTCAATTCAGCTGGGTGACTGCCCACCAGTTAACAACCCACTACATTTTAGAACAAGTGAACACAACTTTTAGTGGGATAATATATTGGACAACAGATAATGCTTAAAGACAAAAATATTAAGTCTGGATTATTTTCTGTACTCAAGAGACAGAAGTTATACCACTTCAGTTATTATTAGAACATCTCAGTAGAACAGAATAAGGTATGTATATGATCATAGTTAAGAATTCTTAATGGACTCTGACCATATCTTTTTGTTAACTTGAGATGCTGTTGCAGGAAAACTAAATTTCAAAATTTGCTAATAGCTCTTACAGTACTTAGAACTGTCAAAAGCAATTTTAAAGCTATATGGGGTAAAAGAGAAATGAAAAAATGAGAGAAACACTAACAGCATGATTTCCTCATAACATACAAAAGAAAATGAGTACTACAAGTTTTAAAACTCAACAGTTATCTGAGAAAATTCAGAGAACAGTGAGCACTGTTTGGGTCACCTCATGATATATAATAATGTACCAAGAGAAACTTAAAATGAAATAAATCTTACCATTCTACTATCATCCTGAAGATCTATTGGTTCAATAATTCTGCTTCACTTCTCTGCTACTTAATTCTATCTCATTTGTACATATAATAAGCTACACAGCAATAAGGTCTCTTTTACACCTTAAGAGATAAGAATTAGGAAGCTATCCTTTTCTCAAGACAATTATTATGACTTATTTGCATGCTCCTGAGAATTCTCCAAATACACTAGGTATTCATGTTCTCAAAGTGGCATTTAATTGATGCAGGAGATACTGTGCTGTTACTCATTCTTGGTTACATATTTCTCACATCCTGATATTTCCAAAAGACATTTCATGAGATTAATGTCATAAGACATTGTAATTTTAATTGGCAATGCTCTTTTACTTTGTGGTACATAAAACCTCAGTGGCACTATTCACTGATGTTTTAAATTTGTCAAAACTCAATAAACTTCTAGTCTGTGGAATATAAATGATGTTTAAAGCCATAGGACTGAAAGAGGTTACCCTGGAAGAGGAAAGAGAAAAAAAAAAAAAAAACTAAAAAGACCTTACAGAAGAGGATCAATCGAAGGTGGACTAGGCGGTACTTATTTGTAATTCTAGCACTCAGGGAGGCTGAAATAGGAGACGCAAGTTCAGCCCCATTTGGACACCTCAGTGACTTAGGGAGACCTGGTCTCAGAATAAAAAATAAAAACTGGCTGAGATGCAGCTCAGTGTGAAAACCCTGGGTTCAATCCCTAGCACTGCAAAAAATAACACAGAGAATTTTTTTTTCATAATTTTATTGATAAACAAATAGCAATGAGACAGTTTCAAATCAAATCGCTA